TTGTGTGTGGCTGTTGACGCCGGCGGACCTAAGTCAACGGCTGCGCGACGATTTCGAAATCGTCCTTACGCGACAGTTGACATCGGCGGCACGGCGTCGATATGTGCGAGAGATTCTCGGGAGATCATTGGCAGCTGGTGACAACGGGCCTGCGTTAGCATGGGCGACAATTTCGGAGCAGCTGTTAAGAAACGGACAGCTGGGGGAACTCGCCAGGCGCAAATGGAGTTTTTGCGTCTGAAAATGTCGGTGGCGAGAAGAGGCGACACGCGAACTGCCCGAATTATGCTGGGTCAACTGTCGTCCCGCCCGACCTGAAGTGCAGCCGGTTTTACTGCATGGCGGGTGCGTCATTGAAGATTTCGGCAGGAGTGCATGTGGACAGACGTTAACTTCAGACCCGCCGACACTTATGGGTTGCTACAAAAACCGGAGTGAATAAATCGCACTCAAATGGAGTGGGACGCAGGCGGCGAGGGCAATTCGAGCCCATACACCTCGAAGAAATCTCGCATGACGCTGCGTGCCTGGTACTGTTGACAGCTGGCCGGCCTTTTCGAGAGTGGTTTCCCAGTAAGGAAGACATTTTTGTGGACAGCTGCAGCAGCCCACAGACAAACGGCGTTCACTGTACCACCCCGACATTTACGGCGGAGATTGGTACAGGCCGCCGAGACACACGGACCGAAACTGTCCGACGACTAAGCGGGGGTTGAAGAACGACGCGAGGGGCAGGTTAAAAGCCGGTGTGATCGATCTGTGACATCTGTCGCCCGAACCTCACCATCCCCACCAAGTTTTAGTTCTGACTCATGCAGTCAACTTACTTGGCCGAATAACGGGGGTGAACACGTGCCTACCCTGTGCTGGTTAAAGGCACATGGGGGGGGGGGGGGGGGGGGGGGGGGGGGGGGGGGGGCTTCGCGGCACTGTTCTACTCTGAAAAAATCGAGTTGTGTGAGACGGTTACGAAATTTTCGGGGAGCTGCGACGACTATCGGCGCAATCTTTGGTTTCCTCCTGGCCCGGGCGTCTACATGAGTTGACCGCGCAGCGGCGAAGCTGGGACCGGGAAGTGTGGAGTTTAGTGGCGCGACGGGTACGGTGGGCTGCAAAGCGGTTGGGCATGGACTCCTTTCAACTAAGGCAACCCCGACTCCGATAGACTTTGCCCCTCCACCGTGGTTGGGTTCGCGCGGGCAACATCAACTATGCCCCATGCGACAAAAGCGGACGCTGGGTGAACGGCTGGAAGCGGAATTGTCGGAGGGTGAAAACGACAAAAAAATATTAAGCTGAGGGTGTTTCTTCGCTTCTTGGAGTGCGGTTGAGCCATTGGGGGACTTTGCCTGAAAGACACTTTTCGAAGTTGCCTGGCAAGAAACACAACGGCAATGATACCTAGGACCCATTGGTGACGCACACCTCGGGAAATTCTTCACAAAAAGGGAGCACGGGAGTAGTCGTGGCTTCGGGAACTTATCGGCCGGCGACGAGCGATGGGTGAAACATCTGCAAAACGCCGGTGGGAGAAACGTGGGTTTGGGGTAAACAACATCGACAGGAGCAGCTTCGACGACGGGGTCAACGACGTTGATGCCACTAGGATCCGTGAAAGTCGGTCTCGGAATAACCCAGGGCAAGTCCCCGGTTCTACATGCTGGGGTTGGGTAAACCAGCGGAAACTACTGGTGACCGAGTGGGTGGCTATAGTACGTCTGAGATTTTTGGAGGCGAACTACACCTGCAACTGCGGATTTACAGGGGTACTATTAATCAACATTTACGGAGTTTTTATGCCGACTTACCGGTTTACGATGGGAAAGTGCCGACAGTTTCGGATGGGTTTGCGGCGTTTGAGGACAACGCGCGCGAAAACAACGTGGGGAAAAACGACGGGAACGAAGGACTTACACCCTACGTAGGACTTACGCACGAACTGGAGGAAGCAACCGCAACAGTGGAGGGGGGGAGAGACAGTTGTAAATTTTCATCTCTGCCCAAGAGTCATCGGCGAATATCGACAACAAGCTCGGCGGGTCAAGACAAACCCGCCAGAAGAGCTGACGTCATCTGACATGGATAAAGTGTTTGACAATTTTGACCGGATTGACATTCGATTTGGCTACTGCTTCAACGACCGCCGACTCTCGATAATCAACTTCGCTGCCAATTGCCTTCGATTGCCTTCTTTGCTGACAGTCGTAACAATCTGGACTTCACGACCAGAGGATTTCAGGATGAGCCGTTCTATCTCTACTAGCGACAACTCGCCCCACTCGACCCGTCCACGACAATTTCATTTAATTTGACCACGTCAGGTGCTGCCAGCTGCAACTGCTGAAGATATCTCATAGTATAGCTCAGCCAACAAGCGAGTCCGCCCGGGGGAGCTCGCTGCCCGCGGGCAAAAAAAAAAAAAAAAACCCCGTACGGGCACGCATCCGGTCAAGGAGGCATCAACCCTAAACACATGAAGGCATGTGTTTAGGGTTGATGCCTGCCATACAGGCACGCATCCGGTCTGACGATGTGTAGACAAAAAAGTTCAGTTCGAGTATTTGGTACAATTCGTTTCTGTTTCTGGTCTACGTCTTTCGATTCGCCCTTGAAGAATTTTGGGGCACGGAACACCCGGTTACGTCATCGAGTTTCCACACCGATGCAATTTTGCCTGGCCTTCTACGCTCAACGATTTTCTCAGTGGGACTTAATAATTGGTTTCATTGGTTCTCATCTCGGTGCAGCTGCGGGAAATTTTTGTGTGTTTTCTTGGAGGGGGGGAGAAAGTGCGCTGCACTGTTTTCCTACCGTGTATTCTTCAGCACTCTTCCTGACTTTGCCAGGCAGCAGCAGCACGTGGGACGCACGTGATTACTTCATCGAAACCAACGGTTCCTGATTGATCGCGATTGAATTCGCGTCAGCAGGTTCCCTCCCTTTTCGCGCCAGCTTTCGACAATCAGATCTACACATTCTCGATCAACGACCCCCATTCCAACTTTCAATTCATTTGGGCTAGTTCATCGTGGACCGTCAGATCGAAATCGTTCTTCATGAACAGCCTCAATTCCAACCTTTTCTTCAAATTTGCCCAAGGCATTTTCAGCCGTGGGATTCAGCTACACTAAAGACCAACGGTCGTTTTTGAACTGAGGGAGGTCATGTTTGGAAGGTGGGAGAGTTTAAGGAATTGTCATTCCTTGCTATACTTGTCAGAACTAGCGAGTACATCCCGAGGGTCACGCGACGAATCTGTTTGGCCCATTTCGTCGGCTAAACCACTCCCGAGTCGGCCCCCGCTCCAATCGCAACATCATCGAGCCATCTTCGCCTGACCTCTCCGCCTAGCTAGGATTTCCCCTATTTAGTCGTGCCATTCTCATTGTATTGTCATTCTGTAGTTCACATTCTCGATATTCGTTTATCTGTGCACTCTGCAAGTTCATTCATAATAGGAAGCAAAGGGGGGAATTAGGCGAAGCAGAGGTGGAAATGAGGGGAAGCAAAGGGGGAAATGAGGGGGAATAGGAGGTTAAAATTAGGGAAAGGGGGGGGGGGGGAGATAAGGGGAAGCAGGGGGGAAACCAAGGGAAGCAGAGGGGAAAACGAGAGGAAGCATGGGAGTAAATGAAGGGAAGGAGAGAGGGGAATGAGAGGACGAAGACGGGGAATGACGGGAAGTCGAGGGAAAATTAAAGGGTAAGATAACACGAGGGAATGGAAGGGCAGATGGGAGAAGGGCAGCAGGAGTGGAGGCGCGAGGAGGGGTTGCGCGACGAGGGTTCTGGCGCGCTGATGGCAGGGGAGGCCCAGCGAGGTGTGCGGAGGCGCGGCGGGGCGAGAGGAGGCGCGACGAGGCGAGCGGAGGCGCGACGAGGCGAGAGAAGACGCGGCGAGGCGGGCGGAGGCGCTGCAAGGTGAGCGGAGACGCGGCGAGTGGAGGTTTCCAGAAACGAGGGGAGGCATGACGATGGGACAGGAGGCGCGGCGAGGGAAGGCGCGACGACAGGAGGTGGGGCACGAAAGGATGCGCGACGTAAGGATGGGTGGCGTGCCAGGGGGTGGCGCGACGATGGGCGGGGGAACGCGACAATGGGAATCGCGGCGAGGGGAGAAGGTCGATGAGGGAAGGAGAGGCACGATTTTTTGAGCCACTCAGAGGTGCGTGGGCAAGCGTGGTGAGGTGGCTTCACTAGGTAGGTTAAATACAGGGTCTCACGTACGAGAAATCGTCATCAGCACGAGAATTCGAAGCTTTGTCACCCTGTTTGAGGTGGCGAAGTCTCGGAGTTGGTCTGGCAATTGATTTTGCGACACTTGACGCTTTTGGCTCTGAAGCAATTGCAAAACATTTTGATCGGTACATGAGACTGACTAGATGCTCGCACAAATTGCTGGTGTTCTAACTTTGGCACCGAACCAATTTCCGTGCCTGGTTGGTTCACACACAAACTGCGATTTGTGTTTCCTTCGCCCCACTCGCCACACCCCTCGCCAACCAATCCTGACGCAGAGTCATCAATTGCATAACAATTGATCTACGTGAGACCCTGGTTTTAATGTTCTTGCGCTGTCCAAACTAGCTGGATCCGAGATTTCAGGGGATTTTGTTTACGAGAATGAAGGTGTGGGGCGAGCACGTGTCCAGTCGTCTCTGGCACATTTTCGGAAATAGCTGTCGCAGAGTTGCGTGACGAGCACCATTTAGGTCGCCCCCGAATTCTGCTTTCGCCCCGCCCTAATTCTAGAAGTTTCAGGTGACCAGCTTTCGCTAGCACCGTTTCAACTTCTAACATGCTGACAGCGGGTTTTAAGCCCGTCCAAGAAAAGTGAAAAGATCTATTTGCCTCAGCAGAGGATCGAACTCTGGACCTTTCGCTTACGAAGCGAACGCACTACCACTGTGCTACTGGGGCTGTGTTTGGAAGGCAGCATTTATTTTTAGAAATTGGTTGTCTTATCATGGGACAGGTTGTATTGCCAGCTTGGGGTCATTGATGGCGACATCCACGGCACGCACGAAGCTGAAAATCCGGAGCGTGCCGAAAGCCAGCTCCGATGGACCGTCGTCGCCTAGCGCCGCTTCAAAGGCGGACGCCATGCGGTAATACATACGTCGTAGTCTCCTCACCATAATACACGCCTTGTAGTCTCACTCTCGTGCTCTCGAGACTCCTGGCAATGCGCGTCGCGATGCCTGAAGACGGTCCCTGTTGGACCAGTCAAGTCGGTCGGTGGCATAAAATGGGCCAATCAGAAGTTTTAGTCGCCTCAGAACGGTCGAATAAGGGTTTAAGTCGTCTCTGAATGGTTCAAATAAACGACTCGGGTCTGGGCGGTAACGCGTGCGCGCTATCGTCTCCTGTCCGTTTGCTCTTCCGTCCCCACACTAGGCCGAAGGGTGCAGCAGGCGGGCTTCGGTAGCCTGGTAGCCGGGTTACAGGACCATTCAAAGTAGCGCGGCTTCTGCGGAGCGCTGAAGCCTCTATCTCTAATTCCAGCAGCTTTTGCGAAAAATTGCGACAGCCTTTAGCTTCGCCTGCTTTCACCTTTCGGTCTTGAGTTTCCATCCTCCAACTTCCACCTTCAATACTCGTCCACGTGTCTCCTTTTCCACGTGACCACTTATCCACGTGTCCCTCCCCTTGTCCACGTGTCCTGATGTCCACTCATCCACGTGTGCACGCGTGTCTCACTGCGCGACCCTACAGGGACATGTACGGCTTCACACTGCAGAGCCAGTACACGGACATCTACAAGACGTACGCTCGCATCTACCAGGTGCATTATCCCCCCTGCCGCCCCACATAAGGTGAGTTGCATTGCTCCTGTGCGCTCAGCACGCCCTAGAGCCAGTACACGGAAAACTACAAGACGTACGCGCGGATCTACCAGGTGCGTTGCATTGCGAGGGGTGTTCACTCACTTGGTAGGCAGTGCGTCTCGCACCAGCACGCTCCAGAGCCAGTACACGGACATATACAAGACGTACGCTCGCATCTACCAAGTATGCTATGCCCTAGACCGTACCGTAGGTGTGCCGTGCCCCTTACGGCCCCACATGAGATGCGTCTCCCTGTGCACCCAGCACGCTCCAGAGCCAGTACACAGACATTTACAAGACGTACGCGCGGATCTACCAGGTGCGTTCTGAGAGGGCCCTACACACTTAGAGGTAGTAAGTGGTTGGGAGGGGTAACCCGCACCACCAGTACAACACGCTCCACAGCCAGTACACGGGCAGTGCAAGACGTACGTGCGGATTCACCTGGTGCGCTTCGAATGCAAAGGAGCTGCATTCCCTATGAGCTCAGCACACCGCAGGGCCAGGCCAGCACACAGATAGACATTTAGAAGACGTACGCTCGGATTTTTACCATGTATGCTCCTCCTGTCGCTAAAATCACACCCAGGCACACCAACAGAGCCAGCACACACACGACACCCCACCACGCCCCGTCTAGGTGGAAGAGGAGGAGGAGCGGTCAGACCGATGGAACAAGCTTCAGTTTTGAAGGCCATGCCTTCAATCAACTACCACTCTCCACCGCGCCCTAATCCCCACTCCGCCCTACCTCACCCCAACCCACCTCGCCCCAACCCACTCCACCCCACCGCACCCCACCCCACACCAAACCACACCCCACCACACCCCGTCCAGGTGTAAGAGGAGGAGCAGTCAGACCGATGGGACAAGCTTCAGTTTTGAAGGCCATGCCGTCAACTACCACTCTCCACCGCGCCCTAATCCCCACCGAGCCCTTTCCCCACCCCACCCAACCCACCCCGTCCTATCCCGCCCCACCCCATCTCACACCCCACCCCACCCCACGACGCCCCGTCCAGGTGGAGGAGGAGGAGCGGTCAGACCGATGGGACAAGTTCCTGCAGCACTGCGACCTCTCCTTCCACGAACCTTCCTCTTCCACCCGAACAGCAGCAGCAGCAGAGACAGCAGGAGACGCGTCTGGTTCCGCCCCCCAGGCGGGGAAGGGAGACGGAGAGGAGGTAGAGGGAGGAGGAGGAGAAGGAGGAGAGGGAGGAAGAGGAGAAGGAGGAGGAGAGGGGGAAGGAAGGAAAGAAGGAGCCACAGAAGGAGGGGTAGGAGGAGGAGGGAGAGAAGCAGTGGAAAGAGAAGGGGGAGAAGGAGAAGGAGAAGGGGTAAGAGCGGGAGGAGGGGATTGGGCGTTAGAGAGCCCAGCTTCGGCCCCCACCACCCCTGGAAACTTCCAGGAAGTGAGGCTGGCAGGTGTGGAGTTGACTGTAGACCCTGTGCTTAGAAGGGGTTCCGGGGGAGATGCGAGGTTCAGAGAGCAGTTTCGGGAGGAGCTGGTGATTATAGAGAGGGTGCTTAAAGGGAGGAAGCTGTGGAGAAGGAAGGAGGGGAGTGTGGGTGGGGAGACTGGCAAGGGTTCGAGTAGGGGTGATAAGCTCTGCTGCTGGTGCTGGTGCTGGTGCTGGTGCTGGTGCTGGTGCTGGTGCTGGTGCTGGTGCTGGTGCTGGTGCTGGTGCTGGTGCTGGTGCCGGTGCTGGTGCTGTTGTGGGTAGTCATGGAGGAAAAGCAAGTGCGGCAGGAGATTCGGCAAGTGTGAGCATTAGTGTGAGTGGAAGTGAGGGTGTGAGTGGGAGAGAGAGTGACAGAGAGAGTGATAGGGAGAGTGAGGGTGGAGGGGCAGGAAATGAGGGACGGGTTGATGATGGAGCAAAGGAAGGGTCTAATAAGGCACAGAGTTCTGGTATGGTCTCTAGTGCGGTAGGGAGCGGTGTAAAGGAGGGAGAGGCAGAGGGAGGCGGCAGTGCTACGGAAGGAAAAGGAGAAACCCAAAGAGCTGTGGCTGGTGAAGAGGCTTCTTGTAAGGAGGATGTCGGCAAGTTTAATGCTTGTAAGGAGCGAGAGAGTGGGGGCAAAGAGGGGGGTAGTAAGGCTGCTACAGATGCAGCGGATGGGAAGGCTGGAGGTGGAGAGAAAGAGGGTCTGCAGGCGGCTGAAGAGAAAAAGTTGCAAGATGGTGAGGAGGAGGGCGGGGGAAAGACGACATGTGTGGAAGGAGGTGGTGAGGGCGGGGGAAAGAAGACATGTGTGGAAGGAGGTGGTGAGGGCGGGGGAAAGAAGACATGTGTGGAAGGAGGTGGTGAGGGCGGGGGAAGGAAGACATCTACGGAAGGCGGTGGTGAGGGCGGGGCGAAGGTGGCGAGTGGAGTGGAGGGAGAAACGAAGGTGGAGGTTAAGGGTAAGGGGAGAAGGAAAGGGAGGAGGAAGAGGAGAAGAGGAAGAGGAAGAAGAGGAAGAGAAGAAGAGGAAGAGGAGAGGAGGAGGAGGAGGAGGAGGAGGAAGAGAAGAAGAGGAAGAAGAGGAGAGGAGAGGAGGAGGAGGAGGAGAGGAGGAGGAGGAGGAGGAGGAGGAGGAGGAGGAAGAGGAGGAGGAGGAAGAGGAAGAGGAGGAGGAGGAGGAGGAGGAGAGGAGAGAAGAAGAGAGCAGAAAAAACCAAAGGAAGCAGGAAAAACAGGGGATGGGAAGAAGGAGGGAGAGGAGAACAACAAATCCACAGCTTCAGCTGCAAAGGATGGCTCCTCTGGAAGCCCCTCTGTGGATAAGTCAGGAAGCAAGTCAGGTGACGAGCCAGGTGACAAGCCAGGTGATAAGCCAGGAGACAAGCCAGGAGGCAAGCTAGAAGATCCGAAGGGGGAGAAAGAGGAGAAGGAACCTACTGCAACGCAACCAAAACTAGACGGAGCAGGAGCAGCAGCAGAAGCAGCAGGGCAACAGAAAGAGCCGAGTAGCCCTTCCAAACCTGCCAGGTTATCAAAGCTGGCGAGCATTTTGTCTCCTGCTGCCACGGTCGCTGCTGTGGAGGCGCAGAGAGAAGCAGCAGAGGCGGCTGCTGCTCTTGAAGCCGTGGCGAATAAGACGCTCAAAGCTGCGAGGGAGGCACAGGGGGAGGCGGCAGGGGCGGAGGGGGCAGGGGCGGAGGGGGCGGGGGCGGAGGCGCAGAGAGAAGCAGCTGAGGCAGCTGCTGCTCTTGAAGCCGTGGCGAACAGGACACTCCTAGCTGCAAGGGAGGCTCAGGGGGGACCGGGAGGGGTGGAGAGAGCAGAGGTGAACGCACAAATAGAGGCGGAAGGTGGAGGAGAGGAAGGGGGGGTAACAGAGGATGCAGAGGGGGATGGGAAAGAGGTGGGGGGTGGTGGGAGAGAGGCGGAGGGGGATGGGAGAGAGGCAGAAGGGGGTGGGAGAGAGACGGAGGTAGGTGGGAGAGAGATGGAGGGGGGTGTGGGAGATGCAACGGGACGCGAGGCAGAAGCGGAGGGGAGAGGTAATGCGATGCGGCAGGCATTCAACACAGCAGGGTTCCCAATGCTGGGGAAAGTGCCGTGGGGGAGGGAACTGCACTCTCTGGTGATGGGCGGCGTGCCCATGAACCTGCGCGGCGAGGTGAGAGGGGGGGAAGGAGGGGAGAGGTGAGGGGACTGGTGCAGCTTCAAACAGGTAGGCATGATGGTGGTCTCTGGTGATGGGCGGCGTGCCCATGAACCTGCGCGGCGAGGTGAGAGGGGGGGAAGGAGGGGAGAGGTGAGGGAACTGGTGCAGCTTCAAACAGGTAGGCATGATGGTGGTCTCTGGTGATGGGCGGCGTGCCCATGAACCTGCGCGGCGAGGTGAGAGGGAGGGGGCGAAGTGGGTGGTGAGTATATGGACCAGAGAGAATGGCAGGGTGCCGTGGGGTGGGGGCGAGAGCTGCACTCTCTGGTTATGGGCGGCATGCCCGCGAACCTGAGAGACGAGGTGAGTGTGTGGTGGAGAGGAAATGAAAGCAAGTGGGAGTGGATGGGAGTGAATGGTAGAGAATGAAAGAGTATGGATGAGAATGGGAGAGAATGGGAGAGAATGGGAGAGAATGGGAGAGAATGGGAGAGAATGGGAGAGAATGGGAGAGAATGGGAGAGAATGGGAAAAGAATGGGAGACAATGGGAGAGAATGGGAGAGAATGGGAGTTGCTGCACTCGCTGGTTTTGGGCAATGTGGCCATAAATAAACCTGCGGCTGCGGGAGCGAGGTGAGACGGTGAATTCCTGTGAACCCTTGTGAATCCCCGTGTATCCCTGTAAATCCCCACGAATCCCCGTGACTGTAAAGAGCAGGTGTGGCAGATATTCGTGGGCACCAAGGCGAGGCGGAGAGCAGGGCTGTACGATGCACTGCTGGAGGAGGCACACCGGGAGGATGACCTGTGCCCCAACAGCACCCTCGCTGACATCTACGCTCGCATCCGTGCCAAGGATGTTCACAACTCATGGGCCGTGCAGATTGAGAAGGTATGGAGCACGTGGGTAAGGAGGAGGCCCACGGAGAGGGAATGACGACCTGTGCTCCAACAACACCCTCGCTGACATCTATACCCGCATCCAGTCCGGGCTAAGGATGTGATGTGCACAACTCGTGGGCTGTTCAGATCGAAGAGGTGAGAGGGGAGGGGGTAGCAGCGGTTTGAGCGATCTGCACGTGTCTGTACAACTGGTGGGCCCTGCAGATTGGGAAGGTGGGGTGGGGTTGGGTTGGGTTGAAGGGCATGTGGGGGAGGGAGGAGGAGGAGGCGCACCGAGAGGGGAGGACGACCTGTGCCCCAACAGCACCCTCTCTGACATCTACGCCCGCATCCGTGCCAGAGATGTACACAACTTATGGGCCGTGCAGATCGAAAAGGTGGGTGAGGGGAGAGGGAAGGAAGAATGCCTGGTATGCCTGGTATGCCTGGTATGCCTGGTATGCCTGGTATGCCTGGTATGCCTGGTATGCCTGGTATGCCTGGTATGCCTGGTATGCCTGGTATGCCTGGTATGCCTGGTATGCCTGGTATGCCTGGTATGCCTGGTATGCCTGGTATGCCTGGTATGCCTGGTATGCCTGGTATGCCTGGTATGCCTGGTATGCCTGGTATGCCTGGTATGCCTGGTATGCCTGGTATGCCTGGTATGCCTGGTATGCCTGGTATGCCTGGTATGCCTGGTATGCCTGGTATGCCTGGTATGTCTGGTATGTCTGGTATGCCTGGTATGCCTGGTATGCCTGGTATGCCTGGTATGCCTGGTATGCCTGGTATGCCTGGTATGCCTGGTATGCCTGGTATGTCTGGTATGTCTGGTATGCCTGGTATGCCTGAAGGGGTGGTAGGGGGTCAACACATGCACAAGTCGTGGGCCATCCACATTGAAAAGGTGGGCATTCTTCCCCAGTGCGTCCCGTTGAAAGACTCAATCCCCAAGGCTCGCTGCATGCTCTAAGAGACGAAATCACCCTTCTCTTTCACTCAAAAGAGCACCAGTACTCCCTCCCGTCATCCCGCCGTCCATCCTCGCCCTCTATCAGGACCTGCCTCGCACCTTCCCCGGGCACCCAGCACTGGACTCCATCGGGCGAGATTCACTGCGTCGCCTGCTGACGGCGTATGCTCGGAAGAACAAGGACGTGGGGTACTGCCAGGTGGGTGTGGGTGTGTGGAGGCGGGGATTGGTTTGTGGGTATGGTGGGTCTGTGGTTTGGGGTGGGGTTGGGGGTTAGGGCTGGGGGTGGGGGTGAGGTTGGGGATGGGAGTGGTTGTAGGTATGGCATATGCGCAGGAGAACAGGGGACGTGGGGCACTGCCAGCCAGATGGGTTGAACTATTGCTTGTGTGTGTGTGTGTGTGTGTGTGTGTGTGTGTGTGTGTGTGTGTGTGTGTGCGTGTGTGTGTGTGCGTGCGTGCGTGCGTGTGTGCGTGTGTGTGCGCATATCAAAACTGTGGCAACCTATAAGGCAATAGTCTGGTAGTTCAGTAACCTTATATCCTAGTAAGCATACCACCCTATTGAATCGGTATTGCTGGTACCTCAGAAAGCTTGTACCGTGACCAGGTAGTAACCTGGTAAATCGCCCACCAGGGAAATTCGTAACCATGGTGTTTAAGTAACTTGGCCGATCTGTAGCCTGGTAAGTTGGTGAAACAATCACCTGGTGGTATAATTCCCTTTTTCCTCCCACATGGACACACCACGCCACGCCACGCCACAGGGTATGAACTTCCTGGGTGGGCTGCTGCTGCTTCTCATGCCAGAGGAAAACGCCTTCTGGTGAGCCGCTCTGACTGAACCGTCTGGACTTGTAATCAAACATTCACTTACTTCTACTGCATTCGATTGTGCTGAGCTGCTCTGAACTGTCTAAACCAAACGACGCACTGCAGTGCAGTAGGAGGGGACTACGCATGTGAGAATTCTCAAAAACAGTCATTAGTGTTTTTTACATCGTATTGTAACATATCATCCCCTTTGCTGTGCCAACGACAACTACTTGCCAAATTGCCATCACATCGTATTGAAACATATCGTATCGGATTTTATCGTGCATGGCTCTGCTGCCACCCTGCGTGTCGTGATTCGTCAGGACCCTGACAGGGATCGTGGATGACTATTTGAGGGGCTACTACTCCCACAACATGATCGAAGCTCAGGTGAGGCTCTCAGGTGGGGTTTATCAGGTGGAGTTCGGTTCGGGTGGGGTTCATCAGGTGGAGTTCGGTTCGGGTGGGGTTCATCAGGTGGAGTTCGGTTCGGGTGGGGTTCATCAGGTGGAGTTAGGGTGGGGTTTAGGTGACTTTTGAATCGACTCAAGAGGACTATGACAGGAATCACGAATCACGGATGGCTATATGGGCTGCCACTTTAACAGCACAATTGCAGCTCAGGTGAGTTCAGTTCAGGTGAGGTTCAGGTGATGTTTTCTTGTAATGCGCCTAGGTTAATTGTTCTATTCCAAGTCAACAGGTGTTGAGACCTCGATGCGCCTGGGCAAGGCTCAGTGTGAGGTGCTGTTTTGAGTGAGTCTTGATTGAGACTCTTGTGTCTTCCCCTACCCCCTCGCTCTCCCGCTCCCACACAGGTGGACCAGCTCGTGTTTGAAGACCTCGTGAGACAGAACTTTCCACGACTCGGTAAGACAGACTGGCTTCCCTTGTTTCTTTCTGAGTGGAAGCAGTCACTTTACAGGGGTCCATGTGGGGGGCAGTGCACTCAGACCTAATCCCAAACCCATACTGCTTCGTGAGCATGTCTTCCTTCCTGTGACCTGCTTTGAGAGCATGTCTTCCTTCCTGCGACCTGCTTTGAGAGCATGTCTTCCTTCCTGCGACCTGCTTTGAGAGCATGTCTTCCTTCCTGCGACCTGCTTTGAGAGCATGTCTTCCTTCCTGCGACCTGCTTTGAGAGCATGTCTTCCTGCGACCTACTTTGAGAGCATGTCTTCCTGCGACCTACTTTGAGAGCAGCTGTCATGGATAAGATAACTGGCCCCTGGCTCCTCACCCTCTCCGTCCCTCTCCCACTCTCCTGATTGTCACACCACTCTCCTGATTGTCACACCACTCTCCTGATTGTCACACCACTCTCCTAATTGTCACACCACTCTCCTAATTGTCACACCACTCTCCTAATTGTCACACCACTCTCCTAATTGTCACACCACTCTCCTAATTGTCACACCACTCTCCATTTCTTCCCTCCTTTCCATGTTCCCGTGTCCCCCACCACTCTCCTCTCATCTCCAGCAACGCACTTTGAGAACATAGGCGTGCAGCTGTCGTGGATAACTGGCCCCTGGTCCCACACGCTCTCTTTCCATCCTACCCTCCCCTTTGCCGCATCACTCTCCCATCCCTCTCCATCCCTCTTCTACCCGTTCCTTTGCTGCATCACTCCAGCAACGCATTTTGAGAACATGGGAGTGCAGTTGTCGTGGATAACCGGCCCATGGTTCCTCTCCCTTTTCATCAACGTGTTTCCTTGGGAGAGCGGTGAGTTGTGTTGAAATGCCTCAAGACTCTCTGTTTGTTCGCCATTTTTGAGACGTCTCAAAGCTCTTCATCAACATGTTTCTGTGGGAAGGAGTTTGTCTGAAGACTTGGTATTTGTTTGTCGCTTTTATTCATCGGGTAAAGTGAATTGTGGGGTTTTAAATGCTTCACTTTCGAAATTATTATCCAGTATTGTTCATGCGTGCATACATACTTAACGACGCTAACCACCATGCCACGCATATGCCCCTACTTGAGTTACTTTTTTTGCTAATTGAATAAAATATATTCACAGGAAAATAACTAAAACTCGAATCCTCAACGCTCATTGACTTCTCCCCCTCCTTCCTTTTTGTTCCTTCCATCCACATTTCTCCCCCAACTTCTTGATGCTGCACGTGTGGAACGTGAGTCTGTTTGAAGGACAGACAAGCGCCATCCATCCATACACATACACTCACCACTCTTCTCCCACCCCCTATCTCTTCTCCTCAGTGCTGTGCATGTGGAACAAGGAGGCTGCTCGAAGGACAGACAAGCGCCATTTATACACATACACCACTCTCACCACTCTTCTCCCGCCCCATCACTCTGCTCCTCAGTGCTGTGCATGTGGGACGTGAGGCCGTTTGAAGGCAAACACAACGCATGCCATGCACACAGCAAAATTCGCACACTTCACTCTTCTCTTTCCCCCCTCCACGTCACAGTGCTGCACGTGTGGGATGTGATGCTGTTTGAAGGCAACAACCCTGCCCTGCATACAGCAACATTCATACGCATATGCCACCTTCTCCCCCCCTCCCACCCACCTTCTCCCCACCTCCCACTTTGCAGTGCTGCGTGTGTGGGACGTGATGTTGTTTGAAGGCAGTCGCTGCATGCTCTTCCGGGCGTGCCTCGCGCTTCTCGAGCAGCACTGTGAGTGACCAATCATGGCTGCGGATTCAGGGCCTAAAGTGCCTGGGTCTTCTCTGAAACTAGGTCCCAGAAATTGAGAACTCTTTTCTGGGGCTCAGGTATTGCTTTTGAGTCGAGAACTCTTTTCTGGGGCTCAGGTATTGCTTTTGAGTCGACTCAAATTGAGAACTCTTTTCTGGGGCTCAGGTATTGTTGGGTTGCGAACAACTACGTCTCGAGCATCAGCTTTTAGTTGAATCTCAAGGTTGGTGGGATTCCTGACCTTCATGTTTTGTACCTTGAACATGCCTCTAGCACAGGGAGGGTGAGCATGGGGAGGGTGAGCATGGGGGGTGAGCACGGGGAGGGTGAGCATGGGGAGGGTGAGCTCATGCCGACCCTCATCCCACCCCTACACATCCCTTTCGACCCCCACATCGGGCTCCCCTCCTTCATTCTCCCAGTGAGCAAAAAAGCGGGCTCGGCCCGGCCCGAGTCGGGCCGGCCCGGAAACGCGCCGGGCCGGGCCTCAGATTTTAGCGCACAGCCCGGGGCGGGCCGGGCCGGCCCGGCCCGTCGGGCCGTCAAAGGCCCGCTTTTGGCCCGACCATTCGACGGCGGGCCGGGCCGGCCCGACTCGTCGCGCGGCCCGAGTCGGGCCGTTTGGGCCCGGTTTCGACCCCCGCGACAAATTGTAGCGGGGGTCAAATATGAGCTGCGCGACAATTTCGCAGCTCGTATTTAAGTTTTGCCTCACGCAGGGTGAGGGGCCCGCGGCTATGTAGGGTCCCTGATTGTTCTGGTCCGCCATGGTGGGGTTACTTGTGACTTTTACAGGGTGTGGTACCGTTACTTGTAGTAACATAGGTTTAGTACGTTCCTGTTTGACTCCTTTTGCGCGTGACTGACTGCGTATGGTGCTGCTACGGGTTTAAACATTTCAGCAATCAGTACATGTGGCAACAATCCCAGTATCTGCAAGCGTTGCATTACTGCTCCCATGTCCTGATCCATACACAATGGCACCTGCAAGCATGCCTGAACATGGGTTTACGTATGTGGACATGAAATCAAGCCCATAAACCCTTAGAAACAAGACTCAAACATGCGCTACTGCCTCATTTGACCACCCGGGCCGGGCCCAGCCCGGCCCGGGTCGGGCCTTGCACGGCCCGGGTCGGGCCACACTGGCCCGAGTACCCAAAGCCCGGGCTCGGGCCACAATTATGCTGCTACGGCCCGGGTCGGGCCGGGCCGGCCCGGCCCGGATTTTTGCAGGGCCCGGCGTGGCCCGACCAGGGCCGGGCCCGGCCCGGCCCGTGCTCATCCCTCCCTCACAGCCTTCCTGTTCATGGAGCTCACTCGGACTGAGGCCAGCGAGCTCATGTCGACCACATCCCCTTCCTTCACATCGCTTTTCATCCCTTAGAACCGCTTCCCATTCTCCCATCCCCCGCCCCTCCCTTCGCAGCCTTCCTACTCATGGAGCTCACTGCGACGGGTGAACTCACCTCGTCCCATCCCTTTACATCACTTCACATCCATTTCCACTCCCTCTCCCCCTTTTCCTCTCATCCCCGGGCAGCCTTCCTATTGATGGAGCTGACCGAGACGGGCAAGCTCACGTCGTCCCTCATCCACTCCCATCACAGTCACATCCCTTCCCATTCCCATTCCCTTCTTCTCTCCCCATTTCCTCCTTTCCTTCCTACCCTCGCTCGCAGCTTTCCTATTGATGGAGCTGACTGAAACAGGCGAACTCATGTCGACCCTTTAGAACGTGGCAGTCGTCCTTCCCTGCCCCCCTCGTCCTTCCCTGCCCCCCTCCCCCTTTCGCCCTGCACAGGCTTCCTAGCAACGGGATCATTGAGGCGGGTGAGCTCATGTCGACCCTTCAGAACACAGCAGCGTCGGCCTTTAATGCCAGTCGTCCTTCCCTGCCCCCCTCCCCCTTTCGCCCTGCACAGCCTTCCTAGCAACGGGATCATTGAGGCGGGTGAGCTCATTGAGGCGGGTGAGCTCATGTCGACCCTTCACAACACAGCAGCGTCGGCCTTTAATGCCAGTCGTCCTTCCCTGGCCCCCTCGTCCTTTTTCCCTGCACAGCCTTCCTATCGATGGAAATCACTGAGACGGGAAAGCTCATGTCGTCCCCCATTTCCTCTTCACATCCCTTCCTATCCCTCCACATCCCTCCACATCCCTCCCTGCACAGCCTTCCTATTGATGGAGATCACGGAGACGGGTGAGCTCATGTCGACCCTTCAGAACACGGCAGCATCAGCCTTCGATGCCAGTCAGCTGGTGCTGAACGCGTGTGTGGGGTACATGGCTGTGGACGAGGCGTTATTGGAGGTGAGGGCTTGTTTGGAGGTGACAATAGCACAGTGTACAGAGCATGGGTGTGTGTGTGTGGATGAACAAGTGTGCCAGTCAGCTGGTGCTGAACGCGTGTGTCGGGTACATGGCTGTGGACGAGGCGTTGCTGGAAATGAGGCACAGCATACTAGCATAGCATGGTGCATGGGAGAGTGAGCATGGATGAAGAACCTAGCAGCATCGACGTTGGATGCGAACGTGTGTGTGTGTGTGTGTGTATGGGATACGTACGTGCGCGTGGGTGAGGCATTATTGGAGGTGAGGCATTATTGGAGGTGAGGCATTAATGGAGGTGAGGCATTAATGGAGGTGAGGCATTAATGGAGGTGAGGCATTATTGGAGGTGAGGCATTAATGGAGGTGAGGCATTAATGGAGGTGAGGCATTATTGGAGGTGAGGCATTATTGGAGGTGAGGCATTAATGGAGGTGAGGCATTATTGGAGGTGAGGCATTATTGGAGGTGAGGCATTATTGGAGGTGAGGCATTAATGGAGGTGAGGCATTATTGGAGGTGAGGCATTAATGGAGGTGAGGCATTATTGGAGGTGAGGCATTAATGGAGGTGAGGCATTAATGGAGGTGAGGCATTATTGGAGGTGAGGCATTGTTGGAGGTGAGGCATTAATGGAGGTGAGGCATTATTGGAGGTGAGGCATTAATGGAGGTGAGGCATTATTGGAGGTGAGGCATTAATGGAGGTGAGGCATTATTGGAGGTGAGGCATTATTGGAGGTGAGGCATTAATGGAGGTGAGGCATTAATGGAGGTGAGGCATTAATGGAGGTGAGGCATTATTGGAGGTGAGGCATTAATGGAGGTGAGGCATTAATGGAGGTGAGGCATTAATGGAGGTGAGGCATTATTGGAGGTGAGGCATTATTGGAGGTGAGTCATTATTGGAGGTGAGGCATTATTGGAGGTGAGGCATTAATGGAGGTGAGGCATTAATGGAGGTGAGGCATTATTGGAGGTGAGGCATTATTGGAGGTGAGGCATTAATGGAGGTGAGGCATTAATGGAGGTGAGGCATTATTGGAGGTGAGGCATTATTGGAGGTGAGGCATTAATGGAGGTGAGGCATTAATGGAGGTGAGGCATTATTGGAGGTGAGGCATTGTTGGAGGTGAGGCATTAATGGAGGTGAGGCATTATTGGAGGTGAGGCATTATTGGAGGCGAGGCATTATTGGAGGCGAGGCATTATTGGAGGCGAGGCATTATTGGAGGCGAGGCATTATTGGAGGCGAGGCATTATTGGAGGCGAGGCATTAATGGAGGTGAGGCATTAATGGAGGTGAGGCATTATTGGAGGTGAGGCATTATTGGAGGTGAGGCATTAATGGAGGTGAGGCATTATTGGAGGTGAGGCATTATTGGAGGTGAGGCATTATTGGAGGTGAGGCATTATTGGAGGTGAGGCATTAATGGAGGTGAGGCATTAATGGAGGTGAGGCATTAATGGAGGTGAGGCATTAATGGAGGTGAGGCATTAATGGAGGTGAGGCATGATTGGAGGTGAGGCATTATTGGAGGTGAGGCATGGCACAGTGTGCATGGCTGCGCGTTGTTGGAAACATGCTCTTCTCTCCACCAGGCTTCTTCCCGTGCTGCTGCTGCCTTCTCCCCCTCCACACCACCACCACCTCACCCCCACTCCCCTCCCCAGACCCTGAGGCAGAAGCACCGGCCGGCCATCATGCGGCGACTGGAGGAGAGGCAGGTGGCGCTGCAGCGCTACCAGAGCGGCAAGTCCGAGCGCCTCAAGGCGGAGGCTGCAGCCATCTTTGAGCGCATGTCCCTCCACCCCTCTGCTGACGGCCGCCCCGTCACCACCAACTCCCTTGATGACTCCATCCTCCCCTCCCCTTGTGCTGTCGCTGCCTCTGGGTCGGGTCTGCTGCTGGATCCTCCGTCTCTGCTCCTGCCGCCCTCTACTGCTGACAGCCTCGTTACTAACAGTTCTCTTACTAACAGCAAGAGCAGTAACAGTAGGAATAGTCAATTACCGCCTCTGCCCACCCAAGGGCGCCAGAAGGGGGCTGTTCAGGACGGCTCCCAGGCAGTCCCAGCAGCCAATCAAGACCCGCCACCTGTCCATTTCAAGCCTGGAGCGAGGCTGTTTCCCCTCCCACCCAGCCCTCCACTTGCCCGGTCCTCCTCCCTGTCAAGGCTCCACGTGTCAGCTCTCCATAGGCCCGTTTGGCACCGCTTTGGCATGCACTTAGGGTGCAGCCCTGCCGCCAGGAACATGGTGGCGCTTTTAGCTAAGCAAATGGAGGAGGAGCGGACGCAGCCCCGGGGGACGCCGAAGCTGTCGCTGCCGAACCGAGTGGCTCGGGCCGTGGCTGTTTTGTTGGAAGCAGCAGGGGTGGAAGGTGGGAGGGAGAAACGGGATGGGATTGTGAATGGTGGCCTGGATATGCCTATAGATGGTTCCTCCTGGCCTGATGTGAGATGGCCGGTAACCAGCGCCGTCTCCTCAGTCTCGTCAACAAGCATGTTGGTGGGAAAACTAGCAGGAGCAGCTGGTTCCGTCTCCTTCTCTCCAGTCTCCCCCAGCACACTTCCGTGGCCTGACCATCGCCGCTCGTCCTCCTCTCACGACCTCGCTGCTCTCAACCGCAGCTCCGCCTCTCCCCCGATCCCTCTCCTTGCCAACAGTGCTTCCGCTGCCTCTGCTGATGCTGGTGCTACTGGTGGTGACGGTGGCGCTGGTGACGAGGATTGCTCCAGAGAGGGAGCAGGTGTAGCAGCGGCGGTGGAACCAGGAGTGGCAGGGGGGGAAGCGGGAGCAGGGGGAGCAGGGGGAGCAGGGGGAGCAGGGGGAGCAGGGGGAGCAGGGGGAGCAGGGGGAGCAGGGGGAGCAGGGGGAGCAGGGGGAGCAGCAGCAGCTGTACCATCAGCCACTGGTGCATGGCGCTGGTCTGCATGGGGGCAGGCAGGGTCTCTGTTCGGTGGGGGAGGAGGGGCAACACCTGCTGCTGCTGCTGCTGCTGCAGCTGCAGGGGCAGATGGGCTGGCGGGGGAAGGGGAGGAGCAGGTTGGGGACAGTGCAGAGCGGTTGAAGAGGGATATGACAGCGATACTGGATCTGCAAGCGCAGGTTAGTGTGGGCCCCAGGGAAGGTGGATTTTTGAACAGGTAGATTCCACGTAAGTTCCAGGGCAGGTGGGTTCCAGGGCAGGTGGGTTACAGGGCAGGTGGGTTCCAGGGCAGGTGGGTTGCAGGGCAGGTGGGTTCCAAGGCAGGTGGGTTCCAGCGCATCGAGTGTATTCACTCTGCATGAGATTTTTTTTGATTTCTCAGGATTCTAACACCTTCCTCTCCCTCCTCTCCCTCCCCCCTTCCCCCTCCCCCCCTCCCCTCCATCCCCTCATCCTCCCCTCAATCCCCTCCTTCTCCTCAATCCCCTCCTCTCCTCTATTCCCTCCCTCTCCTCTATCCCTCCCCTCCCCTCCCCCTCCCTCTCCCCTCCCTCATCCCCTCCCTCCTCCTCTCCCCTCTCCCCTCCCTCCCCTCCTTCCCCTCTATCCCCTCTCTCCCCTCTATCCCCTCCCTCCCCTCCATCTCACCCTTCCCTCCATCCCCTCTTTTCAGGTGGCATGGTTAAAGGAGCAGCTGGTGTTCACTCTGGGGAGCTGAACATGGTGCTCATTCCCTCTTCTCCCTCCCTGCCCTCCCTCTTCTCCCTCCCTGCCCTCCCTCTTCGCCCTCCCTGCCCTCCCTCCTCTCCTCTCCCTCCGCCCTCTCCTGCAGGTGGCGTGGCTCAAGGAGCAGCTGGTCTTCACTCTCGAGAGCCACCACGAGTCGCAGACGCGGTGAGCGCACAGCCGTTAGAAATTGACAGCAGTGAGAGTCGATCCATGGATTTCCCATCTGACTGACAGGAGGTTGAGTATGAACAGCTGGTGTTCACTCTGAAGAGCCAGTGCGAGTCACAGCAGCGGTGAGAAGAGTGGCCACTTGTTGGCAGCAGTGAGGTTTGATCCACAGCAGTGAGGTTTGATCCACAGCAGTGAGGTTTGATCCACAGCAGTGAGGTTTGATCCACAGCAGTGAGGTTTGATCCACAGCAGTGAGGTTTGATCCACAGCAGTGAGGTTTGATCCACAGCAGTGAGGTTTGATCCACAGCAGTGAGGTTTGATCCACAGCAGTGAGGTTTGATCCACAGCAGTGAGGTTTGATCCACAGCAGTGAGGTTTGATCCACAGCAGTGAGGTTTGATCCACAGCAGTGAGGTTTGATCCACAGCAGTGAGGTTTGATCCACAGCAGTGAGGTTTGATCCACAGCAGTGAGGTTTGATCCACAGCAGTGAGGTTTGATCCACAGCAGTGAGGTTTGATCCACAGCAGTGAGGTTTGATCCACAGCAGTGAGGTTTGATCCACAGCAGTGAGGTTTGATCCACAGCAGTGAGGTTTGATCCACAGCAGTGAGGTTTGATCCACAGCAGTGAGGTTTGATCCACAGCAGTGAGGTTTGATCCACAGCAGTGAGGTTTGATCCACAGCAGTGAGGTTTGATCCACAGCAGTGAGGTTTGATCCACAGCAGTGAGGTTTGATCCACAGCAGTGAGGTTTGATCCTTGAACTTCTCAGGTTATAAGGAACGTTGAAAGAGCAGTTGGTGTTGACTCTGGAAAGCCACCACAAGTGACAGCAATGAGAAGAAACAATCTTACGGTGATCTCGGGTCACTATCTTACAATTTCAATGAGTTATCGTATAGGTTGATCTCGAGTCGAGTACGAGCCTCGGCAGCGATCGATACGACTGTGATGCCAGGGGATGTTTTCATTGGTAGTGGACCCAGCTCAGGATGATGCCACGCCACCCACCATGTCACCGCACCGTGCGCCATTTGTGTCTGTGCACACGGTTTACCTCACCTTGCCACTGTGTGTGTGTGTGTGTGTGTGTGTGTGTGTGTGTGTGTGTGTGTGTGTGTGTGTGTGTGTGTGTGTGTGTCTGTGTCTGTGTGTGTCTGTGTGTGTCTGTGTGTGTCTGTGTGTGTCTGTGTCTCTCTGTGTTTCTCTGTGTCTCTCTGTGTCTCTCTGTGTCTCTCTGTGTCTCTCTGTGTCTCTGTGTGTCTCTGTGTCTCTGTGTGTGTGTGTGTGTGTGTGTGTGTGTGTCTGTGTGTGTGTGTGTGTGTGTGTGTGTCTGTGTGTGTGTCTGTGTGTGTCTGTGTGTGTGTGTGTGTGTGTGTCTGTGTGTGTGTGTGTGTGTGTGTGTGTGTGTGTGTGTGTGTGTGTGTGTGTGTGTGTGTGTGTGTGTGTGTCTGTGTGTGTCTGTGTGTCTGCGTGTGTGTGTGTGGGGCGTGCGCGTGCGCGTGCGCGCGCGGGCGTGCGTGCGTGCGTGTGTGCGTGCGTGCGTACGTGCGTGCGTGCGTGCGTGCGTGCGTGCGTGTGTGTGTGTGTCTGTGTGTGTGTGTGTGTGTGTGTGTGTGTGTCTGTGTGTGTGTGTGCGTGCGCGTGCGTGCGTGCGTGCGTGCGTGCGTGTGTGCGTGCGTGTGTGCGTGCGTGCGTGTGTGCGTGCGTGCGTGCGTGCGTGCGTGCGTGCGTGTGTGTGTGCGTGCGTGTGTGCGTGCGTGCGTGTGTGCGTGCGTGCGTGTGTGCGTGCGTGCGTGTGTGCGTGCGTGCGTGTGTGCGTGCGTGCGTGTGTGCGTGCATGCGTGCACGCGTGTGTGTGTGTGCATGCAGGGTGGAGGCTTCGCAAACCGCCATGGTGGAGATGGCTCAGAGGGACACACACATGCAGCTCACAGTGAAGGTGGGTGGGACGCACATGCAGCTCACAGTGAAGGTGGGTGGGACGCACATGCAGCTCACAGTGAAGGTGGGTGGGACGCACATGCAGCTCACAGTGAAGGTGGGCAAACGTTCTCTATCATACTTTCTTTCATTCTACAAAACTTCTCTGTCAATTACAACATGTTGTATAAAAACTGCTCTTATAGGTCTTCCCTAACTTCTTCTCTCTTATCTCACTCACACATCCCTCCACCTGGCAGGTGGAGCAGCTGACCAACGAGGTGGAAGTGCTTCAGAGAGAGCTGTTGCGGCAATACCGCTTGAGTGCGCCCCATATGCTAATCCATCCATGTCCCTTACCCTCCTCTTCACCACACCCTCTGCGCCTCCTCAACGCCCATCCCTTTATGGTACCTGGCTGGCAGGTGGAGCAGCTGACCAACGAGGTGGAAGTGCTTCGGAGAGAGCTGTTGCGGCAATACCGCTTGAGTGCGCCCCATATGCTAATCCATCCATGTCCCTTACCCTCCTCTTCACCACACCCTCTGCGCCTCCTCAACGCCCATCCCTTTATGGTACCTGGCTGGCAGGTGGAGCAACTGACCAATGAGGTGGAGGTGCTTCGGAGGGAGCTGTCGCAGCAGCAGCAGCGGGCAGCAGTGGTGCTGGAGCAAGCTGTCATGGACAAGCAGGTGGGATGCGCTGTGCATGTTTTCAATATGCACCTTAAATCAAATAAAAGATCAAGCTGTAACTGACAAACATATGGCAGCAGCAGCAGCAGCAGCGGAGGGGGCAGCAGCAGCAGCGGAGGGGGCAGCAGCGGTGCCCACGCAAGCTGGGATGGGCAAGCAGGTGAATCTGCAGTGAATGAACTACGGGATCGTTTTTCGGTGCTCTCTCTATCGAGTATAAGAGCAGGCAACATCGGGACATGAGTATTGCAGCAGCATGTGCAGCAGTGGTGCCAGAGCAGGCTGTCATGTCATGGATGATTGCCGTGCGTCGAGGTGATTTTTGAGGCGCCTCGAAAATCATCTCAATGCACGTGCTGGTAGAGCAAGCTGTCATGGATGGACTGTGTCTTTCTGTCTCTCATTTTATCTGAATCTGTTTTCTTCTCTGCGAATTTCACCACCCCATTACATCAGATTGAGATGCAGAACTGAATTTCTGCTTGAAGTATTTTTTTTCTACTCTCTGTATTTTCTGTTTTTTCACGTCTGTTGCCTTTTACCGCCTCAATTGATCAGATTGAACAGCAACGGGAGCTGAACGCACTGTTGCTGAGGGTGCTGGTCGGCGCTGTATTGACTCGCGTTCTCGGACATGCTTGTTTTTTTTTTTTTCACTGCTTTTTGTTCACAAACTTTCACGCCACCTCATTCGTAATGGAGGGGCTTCGGTTGACTTTTGTTGACTCTGATTGACTTCCGTAGACTCTGATTGACTTCGGTTGACTCTGATTGACTTCTACTGGCCTGCTTTTCACCTTGTCGGATTGAGATGCTGAGGGCACCGGCATCAAAGAAGGAAAACATGAGGCTTGATGGGGAGGGGCTCTGGTTGACTTTGGTTGACTCTAGCTGACTTCCATTGCCCTGCTCACCACCTTTACAGATTGAGATGCAGCGGGAGCTGAATGCGCTGCTGAGGGCGTTGGCATCAAAGGAGGAGAAGATGAGGCGTGACGTGGAGGGGCTGCACGACAGGGTGGAGGACAAAGAGATGGAGATCGAGCGACTCAAAAGGGTGAGTGGGTGTGGCTCTGTGTGGCTGTGTGGCTGAATGTGTGCGTACGTAGGAGAGAGGTGGAGGGGCCGCATGATAGTGCGAAGAGAGAGAGAGAGAGAGAGATGGAGATAGAGTGGCCTAAGAGGGTGAGTGGGTGTGGCTGTGTGCCACTGTGTGCTGATGTGTGCCACTGTGTGCTGATGTGTGCCACTGTGTGCTGATGTGTGCCACTGTGTGCTGATGTGTGGGGAGAGGAAAGGGCACATAAGCGACTAGTCGAGTCTGCATGAATTTGCACCGGACGCTTCAATCGTCGAGTCTGCATGAATTTGCACCGGACCCTTCAATCGTCTCGATATATGCTTGCTTGTTGCATGCTCGTGTTTCTAGTCGGCGCATTAATCAGTGTGTCTATCGCATGATCCTCCTTTGTCGGTCTCAGTTGACTCACCTTGCCTCATGCATCATGTTTTTTTGTTGCTTGCAGGTGATTGGACGTCTGGAGGGGGAGAAGAGGGAGCAGGAGGAGATGATCGCGGTGGGCAGGCAGCAGGTGGACACACACAAGCGCGTTATTGAGATGCTCGTGGTGAGTGTGGTCTGGTGGGGGGTAGGGTGCAGCATGTCATGTTGGGTACCTCATGTAGTGTTAGCACACACATCATGTGGGCAGGCAGCAGGTGGACACACACAAGCGCTTTATTGAGATGCTCGTGGTGAATAGTACACGCATACCAAGCACTTGCTTTGTGTGCAATGAGAGTACAATATATGTATGTGCAACCATGTGCCTCACATCACAGGCAAGCAGCAGGTGGACACTCACAAGCGCGTAATTGAAATGCTCGTGGTGAGGCGATGCACTGTGTGCGGAGAGTTGAAATACCCACAACCCATCTCATGTGCCATGTGCCATGTGCCATGTGCCATGTGCCATGTGCCATGTGCCATGTGCCATGTATCATGTGCCATGTGCTATGTGCCATGTGCCATGTGTCTGCAGGAGAAGGGACAGACGATGCAGCAGCAGATGGTGGCGATGGAGAAGCGGGCACTCACAGCCGAGGGGTGAGATGAGGGAGAGCGTCACGGTGGTAAGGTTGCTGGTGCGGTACCAAGGTGGTGCAGTCGTGCTGTAGAGCCAAAAGGCTCTGCAGCAGCAGATGGTGGCGATGGAAAAGAGAGCACTCACTGCCGAGGGGTGAGATGAGGAAGAGAATAACGGTGGCAAGTGTTTTGGTACGGTAGTAAGTTCTTTGGTATGGCACCAAGGCGCTGCTGATTTTCGAGCAGCAGCAACGGCTGCTGGTGGTAAGGAAGACTCAAAACGGCAGTCATATCAAAGGGGAAGCCTGGGGTGGAAGGGGGGTGGCTGGGGTGACATTGTAACGGGAGTTGTGAGTTTTGAGTGGACTGAAGTGGCACTAGCACCTAAGGCAAGGGATGCGGTGGAGCCAACTGCACATGGTCACGATACAGGTGAGTTAGAGTTGTCTAAGAGGGCGCTCACAATACAGGTGAGTTGGTAGGCAGGCTAGGCTGCACAATGCTGCAGGTCTGGCACCAATGGTGCAGGTCTGGCACCAATGGTGCAGGTCTGGCACCAATGGTGCAGGTCTGGCACCAATGCTGCAGGTCTGGCACCAATGGTGCAGGTCTGGCACCAGTGGTGCAGGTCTGGCACCAATGGTGCAGGTCTGGCACCAATGGTGCAGGTCTGGCACCAATGCGGCAGCAAGAGGCAACATATTAATTTTTCTTGTAGTGATGTTTCCCGTTTTCCCTGCTCCTTCCTTCCCCCTCCAGCATGGCGCGAGCTTTTCTGGAGATCTCAGGAGCAGAGAAGGGCTACACCACGTTTGGGTCCGCAGTGGGGCTGGAGACCAGCTACCTGCCCTCCAGCGCTGACCTTGACACACTCACCCACTCGCCTCTGCCCTCGCCGTCCTCGTTAGTGGCATCCTCACTATCATCAGTGGCATCATCGTCAAGCACGGAGCAATTGTCATCAGCAGTAACTGTGGAGGGCAAGCCAAACGCATTACAAGCATTATCGTCTGGAGAAGGGAGGGGTGGCAGCAGACCTGCTGTGCCGAACAATACTGCTACACCTACTCTATAAATTATTACTACAATGTGATAATGTACTAAAAATATATCAAGTAACGTACCTACCTACGCGTATTACAGCCTGCTGCTTCTACATATGGTCTAAATTCTAATGCAACAAAACAAGCTCCTGGGTGGCTGGCAGGGGCAGCGAGTGCAGCACAGCAGAAGCAGCGGCCACATTGCATTGCCAGTGCTGGGTTGGGTGCCATTCAGGCCCTATGTTATCAGGATAAATTATCCTGAATTTCCTGAATTCAGTATAGGTCTAGTGTGTGTGTCCTGGAGAAACAGCATAAGTGAATTACTTGTCCTGGAAATTCAGTATAGTGGTTGTTCGGCATGCTGACATTTCAGTATAACGGTGTAAGGGCGTGTTACATTTTTTATATGTTTCGTCCGGACGGGCCACCGTCCGAACGACTGTGTGGTTACAAAACTCGTTAAATCTCAGCAGTGAGTTCGTCAGGGTCTAAACGACGTCGCATTCTTCGTTTTGCTTACTTACGACATCGCATTGGTCGCCACGTGACCGCGCGACGTCGCAATCTTCGCACGCGTCTGGACCACCGTCCGGACTTTCAGTGGTTTTAAAAAATGTAACAAGACCTAAGGGCGTGTATCTTTTTCCCCCTCGACGGTTCGAACCGTGGACGGTCCGAGCTACGAAAATATTACCTGTTTCGCGTGATTTCGTGATGGTTTCGCGAAATTATTTGCGACGTCGCCAACGGCTCGAACTTTCGCGTCACTTTTTCCTCTTCAAAACGGTTCAGATTTTGAAGGGAGAAGATCAAACTGGGGCCGAACATTAGCAGGAAAGTGACCAAATTAGGGCCGGAGAAACCGAGCCTGAACTTTTGGAGCTAACATTCAATTTTTCCATACTCGCGATTCAATTTCACTTGTCAGAGGTTCCGACCACCCCGCGCGTCGTAACTGTTGGATTTGAATTTTGATGTTGTAATGTCGAAATAATTCAGTGTTTTTCACTCATCAGCACTACGAAGCACTAGACGACGCTACCAGAAATTGTTAGGGCAGGGAGGAAAAACTAATCCCCTAGAGAACCCGGAAGCATTTTCGGGAGGGATCAACCCTAAACACGGGAACCAAAGTAAAGTTTAGGGTTGATGCTGTCAGAGGTCCACTGGAGATCCTCGATTGATCCTAGGGAAGGGTTACAGGCACAGTGGCCTGGGGGGTTATGGGCGCACTCACCCGCTACACAAACAAGCCCTTTTATCCCAGTGGTTAGTGGCTGGGATTCTGACATGGTATCAGAGCGAAGGTCTCGGGTTCGAATCCCGGTGTGTGCACCTCGGGCATCCCAGTGCGAGGGGGTGTCAGAGGTCTACTGGAGATCCCCGATGATCCTAGGGAAGGGTTACAGGCACATCGGCCTGGGGGGTTATGGGCGCACTTACCCGCCATACAAACAAGCCCTTTTATCCCAGTGGTTAGTGGCTGGGATTCTGACATGGTATCAGAGCGAAGGTCTCGGGTTCGAATCCCGGTGTGTGCACCTCGAGCATCCCAGTGCGGGGGGGTGTCAGAGGTCCACTGGAGATCCTCGATTGATCCTAGGGAAGGGTTACAGGCACAGTGGCCTGGGGGGTTATGGGCGCACTCACCCGCTACACAAACAAGCCCTTTTATCCCAGTGGTTAGTGGCTGGGATTCTGACAGATGCCTCCCCGAGTCGCATTCGTCTCTAACTTGGTTTTATTTTTTTGGTCAGCTAATGTATTGTAAATTTTCCGAGAGCCACGATGAAAACTACTTCCAGAGGAATGCGACGCGCGTTTCGTAATAGGCGGCGATCATAACCTATAGATCAAAACCTAATCCAACAAAGTCGAAATGCTTGTAATTTCCTGTAAATCTAGGTTCGAAATCTCGGCCCTACCACTTGGGCAGCCTCGGAGGTGCATCCAACGGTTGGCATTAACCCGGCCATAATTTGGTCACTTTCCTGCTAATGTTCGGCCCCAGTTTGATCTTCTCCCGATTTTGAACTTTCCGCAGCTCGAAAAGTAAACGGACGGCGCAGCAGTACTGACTAGAGATTGGCGCGCGAGATATTTTTACAATACGAAATCCGATTGGCGCACGAATCTTGCAAAGAATATGTCGTGAATTGTGTAACTAAGCTATATTGCCCATAACGAATCTCCAGTACTTCGTGAAATTAAGGGTTCAGAAAAAAGAGAACCGGCAATTTGAACACCTTTGGCTCGACCTGTGGTCCTGGGCCGAGCGCGGTTCGGCCTCACAACCTCTCTATAAAGCTCAGAACCGTTTAAAACGCTTGTACCGTCATTCTCTGGATAGAAGCGCCCCTGGGGGTATAAAAAAACACTGTTTTTTAGGGGGTGGGCTTATAATTGAGGATTTTTATAAGCGCCGGGGCTTATATAATGACATATATGAAATCTAGATTTTTTCACACCAATGTGTTCATGTCGTCCTTGCGATTTGAATCGAATCGATATTGTAGAGGGCAATGAATGTGAATTTCGCGTGAATTGGCAGTGGCTGATTCCATGCCAACACACACAGTCAGAATGAGTCAGATTGACCCCATGACAGCTCATTCTGACTGGACGCGAAGGCATTGAGTCGCGCGAGGGTGAAGGGACTCGAAATTCTGAATGTGGGAATGCAAAGTTGTGTTTCGTTACAGCGTTTCTAGTAAAAATATAAGAAAGCATTACAAAGGGTGGCGCTTATAATCCGTAAGCCTTCAGGGGTGCGCTTATAATCGAGGACCGGATATAAGCGCCCTCATCCTTTTATAAGCGCCGGCGCTTATCATAGGCATGCGCTTCTATCCGGGGCCTTACGGTATCACGGTTTTGAGCATTACGAAACCGAGTGAAACCGCGCTGACAATCGGAACTTATCTGTTCCCGGCAATTTCAACACGAGGGCTAAACGACAAAGACGCAATTCGGGTCCCAGGTGTTGAAATTGCCGAGGGAGCGGTGTACACTTCGAATGCAAACATTTTCAGCATTTCGATCCCCGCTAACATAATACGCACGAAATATACAGGAATGTACAAAATGTAGTACAGAGCTGCCAGGACACTGTCAAATGTAGCACTGACATTTCAGGATACCTCACCCTGTGCAGCCCTGACAATTCAGGGCAAATTCTGATTTCCTAAAAACTGCCCTGAGGCCTCAGTGTACCCCCAAATGAATCTGAGGGCCTGGTGCCATTGGGTGGGTGACATCACTGGAATGTGTTGGCCTGTTGAGCATTTGTTGGCTTTTACGGCGATTCAGGTCAAGAACATTCCAAAATCTTACAAAGTGAAAACAGCGGAATGAGTTTGATTGATTGTGTTGGGATACAAATGTATAACCCTAACTGTTTGTACCCCATATAGCATGACCCACTAGAGGCTATAACATTTGACACACCCCCATAGCCTAAGTGGGGAATGTCAAGCAACAGAACACAACCTAAGGTCACAAGACCAGTCACAAGCAAGAGAGCAAACAGAGCTCAGGGTGGATCACAACGTCACCACCAGTCTGAGCACAAATAAGAGGTCGCAAGCCCAGTTCAAGAGGCCGAACTGTAGACAAAACCGGCGGTGGTCACAAGGCTGAAGGGCCTTGGTGAAGATGTCTGCAGTGTTGGCCTCGGAGGCCACGAAGTCCAAACGCGACTGACCGCGTCTCTGCGACTCTCGAAGGAGGAAGTACCTAACGACGATGTGCTTCACTCTGCTCTCCAGTCGAGGCTCACGACACAGGAGAATCATCGCCTTGTTGTCAGCAAACAAGGTCGGTGCAGAGCTCGGCCGCTCACCAAGGTCAGTGAGCAAGAAGGTCAACCAGCGCAGCTCCTGTGCAGCAAGGGCTCCAGCGTAGATCTCGGCCTCTGCGGTAGAAGTCGCAACAGAGGAGGACCGAGTAGACCTCCACGAAACAGCTCCAGAGCCCAGAC